AATTTGCTTGGGAAAGCTACTGTAGTCTATTTATAAGTTAGATAAAAGTAGCTGGATATGATAAAGCCAAAGACTGAATAATGTCCTACTGATTTTATGACATGTATTTCATTATTGACACAGGTAATGGAATTTCTTAGGAAAGACAGAAAACCAGTATCTGATACCAGTAACTCCAGATGAAAACAGCTAAGTGCTAAGCAGCATTCCTCAAAATGTTCTTGGCAACATCACTTGTGTGCCATATTGCGTCAGGTGTAACACTTCTGCACTTCACTACATAAAATACTGCTGCTTTCTGCAATGTTTTAGTGATGAGTATAGGTTTTAACCATAGCTCGGTAAACATTTCAGCATGCTGCTTTAGTAGAAAAATGGTTAGCATCTTATCTGTGGATACGTCGTCATGAAATAAAATAGTCTAAAATGTCAAGTGGTAGGCATTAGACTAACACCATACGAAACTCTTAACAGTTGCCCTTGCCAAAGAGCATTTTACCTAGAACAGCAGCACACCTTCATTTTTTTGGGATGGAGGGTGGGGGTGGCCTTCCTCCCACTGGAAAGTTCTTTCAAATCCATAAGCCAAGTGTAACTTTTCCAAACAAGCAAATTTTCTTAGCTGTAAATCACTACCTACATTGCACCTTTATTTCTTTTAAAAGAGCGACATCCTATCCAGGTGCAATTTAAAAATCTCCCACAGGCCCAAGGACATGAGCAGGAAGTCAGCCTTGCAACCGATGCTATCAGGACCTCATTTCCAAAAGAAACTTGTGGGGTACCAAGAGGTGATCTTGATCAGAAATCTTTGACAAAAAAAAAAATCTGCAACAAGTATGGTAGGGCAGGACTGCTCTTCCTGATCCCAAAAAGATATTACTGGCTGAACATACACTTTTTGAACAGCTTAGTACCCAACATTTCTAAAATGAAAGAGTAGGACAATTTCTGCACTCCTCTGACAATTTCTAGTAGTTTTATCTTTACATAATAGAAGAGCAACTCAGCTGTCATTATCATTAGGATAGCTATATAACTAAGGCAAAATCCTTAATAAACAACTAACAAATCACCAAGAAAACATTTTTTTTTTTCTTTTTAGAAGTTAGACATAAAATAAGAAAGAAAAAAAAAAGCCAAAAACAAAAGACAGACTTACTGGTTATCATTGCTCCAGTTATAGAACCCAGAAATCCAATGCTGACCACAATGACAGAGATCAGCCTCCCCTGCCTATGCCTCTGCAGCATCACAAACATTAATACTCCCACAGCACCATGGACAAAGAGAGAGGAGAAGAGAGCCCAGAGGAAAACCCAGTACCACATCTCTGAAAGAAAGCAGTCAAATAAAGGGTTAATATTTCCAAGACAAGAACTTTGTAAGTAAGAAACTTTAAAACATTGCATACAATCAACAGTAATGGAAAAGCAATACTGATTTCCATCTTAAAAGGAATCAGTGTGACAATATCAGCATATGTTCAAGACATTTTCCCCCTTTTAGGAGTCGTATCATAAAGGAATAACATGATAAAAAAACTATAAAAAGGATTCTGGCACAATTCTTAATTCAGATGTATTATTACAAGTCCATCATTCTTTTAATGCTTTCTTTAAACAACGTTAATTTTAATTTCTTACTAGGTACTTTACTCCTGCAGAACATAATATTCTTTGAAATAAAGACTGAACCAGGAAAACGTCAAGAATTGTTTTGAGGGGTTTTTTTTTTGGTGTTTTTTGTTTGGTTAGGGGTTTTTTTTACAAGAAGAGACAGCATCAGGTAACATCAAATGGGAAATCGGAGATTAAAGACTTCAGTTTATCTACCCAGGAGCTGTAATACAAGTATTCCATTGAATTAGCTTCAAAGGCACAAATAAAAACACTACAGTTTTAAGAAGAAATTTTAACACATCTACCTCCTTGCTTCTAATTGCTTAGCACAGAACTTCATAGAGACAGGTAGTCACTATTATTTAAATTACTAAGGAAGGACAAGAGATCATGTACAAACATGAGTACAAACATTTCTCAGAAGAATGGCAGACACGATTATTACCTTCAAAGAAAAGAGCAGGAACCATCAATGAAGCTACATAAGAACTAAAGAACCTTTCTCACTTGGTGGTAATTTTCTAAAACATTTACTATAACTCAAAAGGGTGGGGAAATGCAACAAAGAGGGATTACTTTTTTTTTTTTTAATGTCAACTTGTCCTGGTTTTGGCTGGGATAGAGTTAATTTTCTTCACAGAAGCTAGCACAGTGCTGTGTTTTGGATTTAGTACCAGAAGAATGTTGATAACACACTGATGTTTTTAGTTGTTGCCAAGTGTGCTCAGACTACTCAAGGACTTTTTGAGCTTCTCCTGCTCGGCCAGGTGCATAACAAGCTGGGAGGGAGCACAGCCAGGACAGCTAACCCAAACTGACCAAAGAGCTATTCCATACCATACTGTCTTTATCTCAGCCCACAGCTCTAACCTTTTTTTCTCCTTCCTGATTCTCTCCCCCATCCCACTGAGGGAGGAGGGAGTGAGCGAGCGGCTGCGTGGTGCTGAGTTGCCAGCCGGGTTAAACCATGACACAACTACAGTAGGTACATATCATCACAGAATTCAATGAATGGGGCACATTTTCCTGATTGACATAATCACATGAAACTGTCATTAATTCAGAGTTTTTGCTGCAGTTTCCCCTCAAAAAAAAAAAAAATACAACTGCCTTACAACAGCATGATACTTACTGTTTATGAGGTGAGCCTGTATTACTGCAGCTTGACACACATCAGTCATTTGAGCAGAAATATGAGCCAATTAGCCAACTTAAATACTTAGAAGCTCAAACAAAACATGTTGTAAAAGGATGCTGGGAAAGAATGGTTGCTACACAATAACCACAGTCTTTTGAGTCCAATATCAATATTTTTTTGCATATCCATAGCACATATACAGAATTTAAGCTTTTTCATTTAGCAGTGCTTTGAGAGTAGACTCAACCCTTCCCCTTTCACACGGCATAAACAGCAAAACTATGTCATAGGACTTACAGCACTTTTAAATTATGGTAACAAAACCAGATTCCTAACAGCTCAAAACACTATTCTATCAAAATTAGAACAGCTAAGCTCCTGCCCCATGGGGGATCATTTCTTTGAGCACCAAGTAGACTGTTAGTGGATACCTAATAAATTTTAGGGGTATGGACTGAACAGACTATAGTTCAGCAATAGACTGAACAGGTCCTCAAGTCTAAACTGCTTTGGCAACACTGGCAGTGACAAGACACAAGATCTATTTTGCACTTTACCATATGAATAACCACAATGAACAAAAATCAGAGAAAAGAAACCTAATATGGGAATTAAGAATGGATCCAGTAGACAAGAACAAGCATTTCCTTGCTTACAGACACTGATCTCTGAAGACCTTCAACCCTAGAAGATATTATGTGCATATCTTAGATCTTCCATTTTAGTTCTCCACAGTAATGTGGTTGAGCCCATCTCCCAGATCATTAAGAGAAGCTCAAAACTAAACTGCTGGCAGGTGAATGTGATGCTGAATGCACCATTTCAAAAGATAACTTGTTCTTACACAGAAGAGGATGTTTTGCCTTGTTTGCCAGTAAATACTGTAGCAGAGATGCTACTTATTTTCTGGACACAGCACCCTTTCCTGCAATTAAGTCTGTCACACAATTTTCATACCATTCAGATTATACCAATATGCAAAATACGCAGTAGAAGAAAGGCCTGGATCATCAGGACAGAGTGCTGACAATGTTCTTGACCAAGATGGATGCAAGAGATGAAACATCAACTATCAAGAAAAAGCGAGGGTCTCTTTACCAGAGTAAAGATAACCCGATACCCCAGTGATGGACTCTTGAGAACACATATTTCAAATCTGCAGCTGAAGAAAACACTTTGCTCTTATGTAAGGTTACATGACAACTGCAGGCTTCCAAGATTGCCAAACACTCCATAACTATGCCAATGGTGTACTGATTAATAGTATCCCATCAGTTCTTCCATAGTCTAAAACAAACTTCTGGATGGCGTGCTGTTGTGGATACTGAATTCAGGCAGGTATCAACGGATTTCATAAAACTGCACGAGAATGAGACAAACTTGTCCCCATTTAAAATGAAGCCCAAGAACAGAAGACTCAATTATTTCAGGCAAGAGGGGACCTGCGATTACTGCAGCCTATTCAGAAGCCAGTTACTCTGAAGCGAACAGCCAATATGTAGATATGCTATGGGGAAGTGAAGCAAAGCTCTTGGTATAGTCTCTCTGCAAATGTATCTGAGGGACAGTCCCAGGACACCGAAAGCTGCACTTTCAGTCATTCTCTCCTAAAATGCCACTGCAGCTGAAAAGCTTGAAACTGGACCAAGAAAGTCTGTTGGAATCCGACTATATTAGACACTGTCATTCCCTGTAATTTCCAGGGTTTACTAGGCACTGCATCACCTTTTAGGAAATCAGTGTTTGTGGTCATTGTCAACCCTCACCAGGTAGAAAAGGCAACTGATTTCCAGTCTTAGGAAGACTTACTAAGATGACTGTATTTTTAGAAGAAAAGGAAAAATTATGGGAAGGCTAACTACTCCCCTGTAACTAAGAAACCAAAAATATTTACAAACTCTTACACAAGAAAATAGCTGCATAGTGAGCAACTATCTTAGGTCTTATTTACACTCCAAATAAGACTCAAGGAAAATTAGCATCACCCCTCACTTTATATTTAGGGCAGGAGACACTGAAAATAGAACCAGCCCCAAATGTCCCCTTGGATAAAGGAATAAAAACTTGAGTTCTTCTATACACACTTTCTTCTCCTACTCTTTAAAAGCAACATACATGTTGAATGTATTCAAAAGGAAATTAGAGAACATCCAGAAATATTCCTTGTTCCACACAAATGCAGCTGCAGCGTTTAAAGAAATGAGTTACAAACCATCCCTTCACAGAGGCCTAGGTTTCCAAGTCAACAGCATTGTAAGGTCAGTAACACAAGAAATACAGGTAGTGTTACCTACAATAATCCAGTACCTTCTTATTATAAATTATTCAAAAATAGCTTATAATTTTACCAAACTGACTGTAGATGCTAAAAATTGTAGGTGTTCACTTCAGAACAGTTGGAGAGCAGGGAAGAAATACCTTCACGTCCAGCTGAAGATAAGAGGGAGGAAGGACCAAAAATGCATTTATTTGGGAAGGAGACAGAAGGGCGAAGCAACGGGTGTGTACAGAAGGGTTAGGGACATAGGCCTGTCACACTTGGATTTGCAGAGGACAGGCAGCTGGGTGAGGGACCCAGTGAGCAATTGAGGACTGGTTAACTGTCTCTATCCTGTAAGCAGGCAAATTAGAGATCATCTTCTATTTGGAGCTCCTTTTAATTTGGGTAACTCCAAGTACATATGCTCTAGATTATCCACTCTCCACCAATTTACATATCTAAATTTGTTAAATTAAAGCAGCTGAAAAGTTTTTATTTACCAAGTTACTAGACAGTTATGAGCAGAGAGACTAGAGGATTTTTGTTTTGTCCTCGCCCTCACCTCACACACATTCTTGCTAATGACTCTCACCTGCTGCAACAAGAACTAGATTTTAAAAGGGAAGGAAGAGAAAAAGCCTCCCTGAAGAGGAAACAAAGTACAGTTCTGCCACTTTGTCTTGCGGTTGGAACTATTCTAGTATCTCCCCTCAGTACCAAGATACTTCTAATTTCCTAGAAATTCGTTATTTGGGATTTTTTTGTTTGGTTGGTTTTGTCTTTTTTATTTTTTTTTTTTTTTTTTTTTTTTTTTTTAAGATTCATATTAAAAAGGAATAGGCGGTGATTTATATTGTTGCATCCTGATACAAAATAAAGAAAAAGGAATAATCACACTACTCAACAAATATTCTGGCTAATAGCTTACCCAATAGTCAGATGACAGTAGCATTTTAAAATCTGACATTAAAGAAATTGAGAATTTGATCACGCAAAGTTTTTTGATCATTGATATAGATCATATCTGTCTTGCAAATTTGGCTTTTCTAGTGAGGGACTCAATGAAACACAGCAACTTATTTCCCATAAAACTTAAACATACAACATGCGTGCCATTTATAATAATAATTTATGAACCTTTCATCACAGTCATCTTTGTCTTGTTAACGTAGCTGTTAAAAAACCTGAAAGATCTGTAATTCAGAGAATGGTATCAATTGACTATTTCACATAAGTGTTTCCTGTTCTTCAGCTACAGACTACACATTTATGCAAGAGACTGCATATTTATTAACAATTCTTTCAAATATA